CTGTCCTAGTGTCCCAGGGCCAGGAGTGGCAGGAGCACAGAACCTGGGCTTGCAGGGGTGCTGGTGGGGGCTCTGACTGTTGTGGGGGCAGGGGAGCAGGCTATAGGCAAACCTTCCCCAGTCACCCTCCCCCCATACTCATAGCCCCCCACAAACTCCATACCCCCACACCCCACAAATCTCTCACATACCATATACAAGAGTAAGATTTCATTTTAAGCTGTTATACTATCACCTCTTTGTATACTCTACAAATACATAAATCAGGACAAAATATTTTTTAAATGAAATTAATGTTATAATACATTTGATTTTTAGAATATAATGTGGTGTTTTTCATGTTCAGAGATGGCAAAACCCCTTGCTGAAAGGAGTACTTCCGGGGGCAAGGGGAGGGACTTCTGGTGGCAAAGGTTAGAGGGCAGGACTTCTGATCCCAAGATGGCAACCAGGGGGTAGGGCACCTGTTAAGGGCTACCCATGCAGCCCTCAGTGTCTTGCTGAAACTTGGTAAGTGGCCCTCCACCCAAAATAGTTGCCCACCCCCATTCTAAAAGATCATAAGCACCTTCTCAGTTTGGGCTATTTCAGAACACAAATGTAAATTACCACTTTTGCTTATGAATGTTGAAGATAAATAAAATCAAGGGAGTTATATATGCAAGTTTTATAATCAGAACTATAATGAACTTTTTTCTCTTCTTTATTAATGAGGTTATTTGTATAAATGAATCCTTGTTCCTTTAAATTTATTAAACATATTAAAGAGGGATATTTCAGGAGACTTATTTTGATTACAAATTTAAATGTAGGGGGAGGGGGAAGAGACTTGTTTAAAGAGTTTCTTCAGTAAATCAAAATAAAGATGGGGAAGAAAAGAGCAGACTTATTTATCTAGGAAAGCTATACATTTAGGGGAAAATGGCTTAATTGCCAGGTAGAGGGGCAGGGAAGATAAGTAGTTAGTAACTAATCTGCTGTTAGGAAAATGAGTGTCTATGGGATTTTTATATCTGAAAGCTTTAATATACAGTAAATTAGATTGAGCTTCATATATTTCATAGGCCAGTTACAGTAGAAATAATTAAAACCAAAAAATTAGTTAGCTTCTATCCTATTGTGTTATCCCAACTGAAGTGTCCTAATTGTTTGCTTGTGACACAGTACTTAATCCCACAGCAACCAATTGCAATGCTGTGAACAAGAGACTTGACCTTCAGGTGGGGACTGAGAAATAGCAATATTTTTTTTTTTTTTTTTTTGGTGGGGCAAGAAAGGAGTATTGACAGCTGAGAGACCCCAAGGATCTGGTGTTCTACTCCACACTTATCCTTGAAGAATTCTTAATCATTTAATCTTGCCAGCCTTTAAGATTTGACTCCTTGCAATACTAAGCAGTCTGTGTCTTGCCATGATGATTGTTGTTTCAAATCTGTAGACATACTGGGTTCCTGTACGCAAGTTATTTTATGATTTGTGCCCCACTAATTCTTTTCTCCTCCTTTTGAAACTGGCAGAGAATGTCTTGGATCTTGGTAGTTAGTTCAGTATCTCCATCTTTTATAACAGTGGCATAAAAAAAGAGGGGGGCATCCAGGGTATTGAACTTGTGTGCTAATTTAGGTCAGGGGCCTAAGGAAAACAGCTGCTCAGGACACAGAGCTGCCATATTACTCCTCAGTTTAAGAGAATGTTCCAGTGCTTAGGATATTAGTCAGGATGTAGGAGAGCTTGGTTTGATTTCCTGCTCTACTATAGATTTCATGTGGGACCTTGAACAAGTCACTTCATCCCTCTGTGTATTTCTTCTTTCATATAAATGGAGATAATAGCACTCCTGTATCTTCCAGGAGAATTGTGAAGGTAAACAAATGAATCCTGGAAGGTGTTCAGATATTATAGATTGATATTACCATTAATGATGGCATCCAAATTATACTTGTAATTAAGCAGAATATGTCTGGTTTTAAAAATAGAAAGAAGAAATATGTAAAATAAGGAAAAGCTCTTCCAAACTAGTCTCAACTAATTGCAGACTACATACAACAAGGTGAAAAACTTAACTGCTTGTTGGTAGCTGTAACACTTGGTGCAGCTCAGCTCACTTAGCTGGACCCCTCAGTCCTAATTATGCCAACAGACCTCAAGTCTGCAAACTAGAAAATGTTCTGGGCTCAATGTCACTAATCATAGCCTATAGTGTCCTCCATAGTTATACCTATGCCTCACAGGTCTTACCCCAATTCCATTCACCCGGCCCTATACTGACTTTGCCTTACCTATTCACTTGCTTTAAGAGGTCCTCAACCCTTGCCACGCTCCAAATAGAGTACCTCCCAGGCACTCCCTTCCCTCCATCATGGTTTCCAGCCTCCAGTTTAAATTAAACCACAAAACAACCAGCCTCTAACTCAACACCTCAAACCCCATTGTGGATCTCTGCACTACTGCAAGACCCTAGTCCCCAATCACCTGCCTTCCTCCCAGTATATAGGGGACCTTTTTTAGGTCTGCAGCTTTTTCACTAGCAACATATACTTACAGAAGTTTCTTTTTTTCAGAGACCAGGGCCAAACTGAGCCTCTAGGCTAAGGCTCAGGTTTATATGGCTCCTTCCTCCTCCCCCTTCCAGGTCATCTGACCTGACTCCCTTGTAATAGGGCCCAGGTGCTGCTAATTATCTAAATCAGCAGCTGGCCACTCTGCTGCCTGCAGTCTGTAGGCTGGGCTCTATAACCCTTTTTCTGTGCTGCTTTCTTCTGTTGAGGTGCATTTTTCTCTCAAAATAACAGGGTCCATTGACCCCTATTACAACACAGCAGATCAGGGAGTGTGCAGTAGTAGCTAGGACAGGGAACAGAAAGCAGACCAACAGATCAAGCTATGGAGTGGTATTTGGGAGGGTATGGGGCTTACCTTGTGATATGCCTGCTGAAAAAGTTTCCCCTCTTCCTGCTGTTCTAGGGCATGTATTCTATTGCTAGTTGTTCTACCTAGTTGGCTGGCCAAACCTTTCACAGATTGAGGAGACAGTGGACACATCTAGTACACGAGATGCTGACTGCAGTAGTTAAAAAATACTGTACAGTAGCGTGTCACGGCAGTGTTAATACGCTACTACACGGTAGCGTCACCTAAAAGACGTTTGCTGGCAATACGGCACAGTAATTCCAGCTAGTGTGTATTTATTTAGTGCTGCTAATACAAGTACTAAATACTCAGTAATGACTGCATAGTAGCATCTCATGTAGGCATGCCCAGTGTCTCCTTAACTTCTTCAGCTCCGAGGAGTGAAATCTACTACCTATTTCATCATTGGACTATTGGTAAAGCTTCATAACTGGGGAGCTTTTCGTAGCTGTGCAGCTTTGATGGCTGCTAGCCATTCATTCAGTGGAGACTTGTGGAACAGGATTTAGCTCCATGTGATAAAACCTTGATGTCTTCAACCAAGGATGGTGAGAGGGTGTGTATGCTAAATAAAACCTATTTCTTTTCTGGTTACTTTACATTTGGTAGATTTAGACTACAGTGGTTTTGAGATGCCAGTGTCTTGTAACATTAAAATGATAGTAGTTGGACTGAAGTTATTCCCTTACAGATTACTTCTGTTCTCCTAGCTTTAAACATGTATGCAAAGATGAGAATGCCTTCAGTAAAATGCTGGATGATTCTTAGATCAGACATTTTCCACTTTCAATGTAAGATACACTACAAGGCTATAATTGTGGGCTCATGTAATGAATAGTTTTTGATGTTTACTGTTACGGTCTGCAAGAAACTATGTAATCCTCTGAATAAAGTGATCATGCTAAATTTAATTCTTGTGTTTTTGCATATTAAGATGTAATAGCATCACTGGTGCTTCAAACACAAGTTTTGATTTTTTTGGTTTTATTTCTATGTGCAATGTTGTTCCTAATTTTATATGCTGATTTTTGTTGGGAACACTGATGTCAGATTCTCTGCACCGGATTCTGGGAAGCTGACAACAGTTAATTTGTAACAGAGAATTTAAACATTACAGATCATTTCTTACACTCTTGCTGTACTCTGTTGTAACATTTTAGACTCTACGCATGTTGCTATTGATCTGATTATATAATAAACTTGAAGTCAGTGGCTTGGTGACTGCTTTTTTCAGCAGGTCATTGGAAAAGCAACTTAATTTTGCCAATTTTTGTCTGTTTGTGGGAAGAAATTTTTCCCTAAACCAATCTGTCAGTTGCTTTGGATTTGTATGGGATACTTTGATGACTCTGCTGGCACCACATAATCTTCTTGGGAAACAATCTAGCTTTTCTTCTGAGATGTACTGCTTCCTAAGCCTTTCTTTATAACATGCTTTAATAGTCTCTTCTTCATGCTCAATACAGCCCAGCTCCAAACTCGTTAGAAGAGTCGGTGCATTTGGTGACTTCCCAAAAGTTAGTTGCATTGCTTTGTGAAACTCTTCTCCCTGTTCTTGGGTTTTAATTAATTATTTGTAAATTACAGTATCCAGTTTTTAAAAGTAGCTCAAAAATATAATGCATATTAAACTCTGGTCCTGTGGCTTAGTGCCCTTAACTGGAAAATCCTAAGGCTACGCAGAGGAGTTGCTGAATATCCTTCAAACATATGTCATGAGAGCAAAAGGAAATAAACAATGCATTTGACCAATTTTTAGTGTTGGGGTTTTTTTTGTTTTTTTTTTAAGTTAAAGGCTCTTTACTCATCTACATGACCTAAACGTAGAAAATAGAAAAAAGGATCTAGTTTCTCCATGCCAGTTACTCAAGATATTAGATTGCTCCAAGTATATCAGTAGAGGGTATTTTCCATATTTTTTTTTTTTTGAATAATGTTTTTCCTCGTCTTTATTGGTTTCAGCTCTCTCAAAACTAGCACTAAATATAGCTTAACCTCCTTGGAAGAAACTGATCAGTGTTTTGACGTTTAGGTACTTTAGGGAACTGTTTGGGTTTGCTTTTTTTTCTGTGTAACGTTGATTTCTAGCTTTCATATCCATGGAGTGTGTGTCTTGAGGTTTGTCTTGTATTTTGGAACTCCTTTTTCTCAATTATCCTTTGTCATCAGACAAGAACTAATCCAGCTGTAAGATTACACCAGGAAATGCCAACCTTGTAAACAGTTACACAGTTTGGTTTAAATCATATTTTTCCCAGTTTATGACTCAGAGTTCTTTTGTCTGTCTCATCACGTCAACAAAGACCACATTGAATATATTCATTTAAGTTCTTTTTTCTCTTTAATTTTTTTTTACTTAAAATATATATTTGTTACATTAATTTGCTTTCAAGTTACCTTTCTTCCTACCCTTTTAACTTTCTGACTCTATATCATTAATGATCTTCTACACACTAATCCTCAGGATTTATTTCTTTCCTTTTTACTTTCTTATACAGTTACTAACTACATGCAGCTAAACCCCTGAAGACCCGGTTTAGTTTTGAGCCAGGTTTGGCATTTTTTTCTCCACTTCAAAATTATCTTGCGACTAAGAGTCAATAATAATAATAATTAAAAAAAAAAAAAAGTCTAAGAAGCTTGTTAATATAAATAAATGGATATTTTAACTTTCTAAAACTCTACTTATCAAGGGAAAGGGAACCAAGGAAACTCCTCATTGCTCCCCTGAAATAGGTAGTCTTTTGTGGGGTTACTGTTAAAGGGCATGGGCACACAGGTTAAACCTGAAGTGGACAGACATATAAGCCTGTTAAACTGGATTAAGGTCTCCTGAAATGGTTCAAATGTGTACCTGGAAAATTAAGTATTATTTAGAACCCATTTAATGTTATGTGCCTTTCCATGGCAGGGGTCTGGTTGGTCCTCCAGGCATCCCAGACTGCATTGCTTCTGAGGTCCTTTCCCCCTGCTGCAACAGACCATCCTGGTAGCGTGCAGCTAGAAATCTACTGCCCCCTTTCCCCTTTTATTGGCAGTTTTTATCAGTGAGCTCCCTTGCACTGCTTGAGAACCAAAACGTGCAGATTCAAGCAACCCCCTCTCCCCTGCCTCTCAAATCAAGCAAGCACAGTGCAAATCAGTCAAGTAGAGACTCTTGAAGTTTGTTGACCCTATGTTTAGGAGAGAAGGGAAAGCAGAAAAGTGAAAGTGCCTCCATGTGTAGGTCATGTACCCTATGGGCACCACAAAGTATGGGTGTAAGTATCTCCCTTCCATACCCCTCTCCTCTCCTCCTGCTCCGCACTATGAGGTGCTGGGCTGAGTGCTCACTGCCTCTCCTGGTATTGGAGCCACAGCAATTCACACAATTGTGAAATGGTTCCTAATCAGTGATGCTTGGGACTGGTTTAATTGGAATGTATTTCTGCACCCAAACAGTGCTGGGCATGGGTAATAGATTTTTCTAGGAACTTTATTCATTTAAAAGAGCCATGGAAAAGCTGGAGAACCATTAAGAGAATACACCAATGTTTAACACAGGTGATTGCTTGGCTTAATAGAGATTATTTGCAAATATTTATACCTTCTGTAACTATAATGTTATATGTAACATTATTTCTGGTAGTGACTGTTTTTCCAGATTAATATGATTTTAATTGACTAAATTTGTTAAACAGCAGTATTTTTAACCATGCCAGTTGCTGTCAAGACCCCTCTTTTGATACTGACAGATTTATATTGAATTTGCAGGGAAAGTAAAGGGCATTATGGGTATTATCAGGGTAAATTCAAATTATGGAGGTGCCAGCTGCTACAAAATAATCTTTATTTGGTATGCATTGACATCTCTTTGTTCTTTAGGGGAGACAGCTTTGCTCTGTGACTCATATGGTCTTCCCTTGGGATTCTATGAGCAGTGGCTTAACTGCTGTGCTGTATGATACGAGCCATACATACCATCTTAAAAGGATACTGTCAAGTGGTTTTAGGCCTAAATTTTCAGCAGCCTTTTGTAATTATTTTAGTCAGATGCAGAATATCTTTTTTTGGATATTTACTTTTGCTTTGCAATTCACAATTTTGTCACTGATAATCACAGGCATAAAGATGCAGCCAGGTGCCCAAGGCAGCTGCTACACGAGGTAGCTTCTGGTTGCCACTGCGCCACACAATTACAGTTGTGATCACGTGGCGGCAGTAGGAGCTGTTTTTTTCCTCCTCCCCCCAAGACAGTGCCTGGAGCATTTGCTCCGGTTGTCCTGCCCTAATTATGGCACTGCTGAAAATCAAAGACCTTTTCCGATTATCAAATGAGAGGATCAGGAGTTTCAGGTTTTAAAAATGGTCTTCTTAATGGGGAGAGGGAATAAATTTGCAATAATGCCCTATTGATACTGGCTCCCATAGCTGCCTATAGGGTTCACACTATGTAATCATTTAACTGTCAAACTGCAGAAGTATCCATAGTTTTGTATCCTTTTTAATGCTGGATCCTATATCTTTTTATCTTCAATTCCTATTGGAAAAAATTGAAAAGATTTTAAGTATAAAAAAAAAAAGTTTCCTTTTCAAAATGCATAATTTATTCAGGGCTTTCTCCACAATTTCAGACACTTGATTACACCTTAGCATTTGCTACAATATTTTATTTTTTCTCACAGCTCTGCTTTATAACCATTCAGTTCCTGTATTTATTATACACCTACCTGATGTTATTTAAGCACTTTCCCAAATGCCTCGTTATTGTACCATAAAGACTGTCCCTCCAGCTTGACCAGCGACAAAAGGTTTTTTGCAGCTTGCTGTCAGTGCGCAGAGCCAATGTCATGGTATTTCACGGCAGCCCTGCTTCTCAGTGCTGGTTAGTGGAGAGGCCCAGCACCTCAGCTCTGATTGGTGGAGAGGCCCTGGGGGGAGTAAAGCCATTAGTGCTGCCTCACCAGCTGGCACCTTCCTTTCCTGGCAGCGAGAATTTTATTTCTATTAAGGTTTTTGTTGTTGTTGTTGCTTTCTTGGTTTCTGTTAAATCCATGAAATCTCTGAAACCGTGAATTAATACATAGGTCCCTGTGTTTTACAGATGACCACGTAGAATGGATATGGTGGTTATTTTGGACTCCTTTCTATCACAGGTGTCTGTGGGGACCTGTCTTGTAATGTCTGTAGCCTGTCATTGAAGTTAGTTTTTCATCCTGGGAAGCAGATTTGTCACTTTGTGCAGCCTGCTTTTGAATTCTTGGTCTGAGATATCTTTATTCTTATTTTGTGGATGATGTAGATGCAGCTAATTAAAATACTTAATGTATGTGTAGTTAAAGATACTGTTATGTTGAATATAAGCAAGTTTATACTAAGATACTAAGTTAAAAGGTAAAACTAGAACAGCTAAAGGTACTGATAGTAAAACTCAATATCAACAGTTGGAGAATGTGTTCATTTAATTATTTAAGAATAGATCTTCTTGTACTAGGCACTGTGCATGTGAACTGTGATCCATTAAGTGATCTTGCCTCCACTTTTGAGAGATTCTGAGACTCTGTACATTTTTAATGG